GTCATCCATTTTCGTGAAAGGAAAGGTACACTCCCTGACTTTAACATGAAAAATGCAGATTGACCTTGTCATTTGCTCTTCAATTTTTGTCTTTACACCCTCATTGTTTAGTCTGACTTGTTATAATGAATGTCACCTGTGTTCTGAATGACTTCAAGCATCAAAAGAGAGAAAAATTACTGTTGCCCAAGAAGTAGTAGTAGATATTCTTCTCAGTCCAGGTGGGTTTTTGGCAGGCACCCCATTTTCTAAACCATGTAATGAATCACTAATATATGGATCTGACACAATCACAATAGAACTCAGAAAAAAAAATCATGCCATGAAAATACCTTTCCTAAATTGATTTTGCTATTAATGGAAATGAATTTGCAACTATGGCATTTCTAATTAACCTTACTTTTCTGTGTTTGCAAAATGGGCAGCAGCCTTTTATCACCATGTCTCCATAGGGATATATTAATAGAAGATATGTTTTGGTGATTGCTTATTTTACATGTTATATTACCAGTTAATCAAGCTTATTCTGCTTACTTTCTGGAATACCTTGCGACCTGAAACAAAATTCAGTTTATATTTTCTCTCTTTCATATTTCTTTTAATTCTACTCATTAAATTGTGAGGATACTGTTTGCTGCATTGACATTTTTCTATCATTCTTTTGCTTCTCTTTGCCCCCTAAACATGTTCTCCAAGGCTAGACCTTTCCTCCAAGTCATTTAATGAATCCTTCCACAGTTATGAGGCTTTCCTGGCGGCTCAGAAGGTAAAAGAATCTGCCTGCAATGTAAGAGACCTGGGTTCAATCTTTGTGTCAGGAAGATCCCCTGGAGGAGGGCATGACAACCCATACCAGTATTCTTGCCTGGAGAATTCCATGGACAAAGGAGCCTGGTGGGCTACAGTCAATGGGGTCACAAAATCAGACATGACTGAGCAACTGATACTTTCACTTTTCCACAGTTATGACATCATCCTACCAAAATCACTTGTTAATTCAGCAAGATTTGTCATGTCAATGAGGAAAACTGAAAAGGTTTGTGTGTGCCATTACGAGGACAAAAATAATATATGCCAGAATCTACTGAATACATCCCCTGACACTTTTGATGAAAACTATACTAAAATATAAGTTCCAAGAAAACATTAATGTTTATGTGGTTTGTTAACTGCAATAGTCCCAGTAGTGGCACTCTGGAAGCGTCAATAAATAGTTGGTATGATAGCACAGCGGTAAAGAATCCCTCTGCTGATGCAAGACACTCAAGAGACATGGGTTCGATCCCTGGGTTCAGAAGATCCCCTGGAGTATGAAATGGCAATCCACTCCAATATGCTTGCCCGGAAAATTCCATGGACAGAGGAGCCTGGCAGACACGACTGAGTGACTGAGCACACAACTCACACACAAATAGTTGGTAACGAGTGATTCAGAAAATGCTGTTTGCATTTTAATAAAGTGGGAGGCAGCAAGCATTATGATGAATATATGTTAAATATTGAAAGTTATTAAGCAAGATAGAAAAGTACTACAAAAATATCTTCTATCCTGCTTAAACAAATACACATCATAAAGATGAAATTGTAAGATATGTTGTAAAGCTGTAATTTTTATATGGCCAAAAGCTGACAAAATTGTAAGACATTCCAATTGAATTATTATTGTGCATATTGGACATTAGGTTAATTAGTGAGTGACGCTTAATTGAATAATAAGCTAATTACATACATAATTTATAAGTATAGATTTATTCCATACCATTGATATTTCTTGCCTGTATTTCAGAAAAATTAATAATTATGTGGTAATCAAGATTATCACATAATTTTGCTATGCTGCAATTTGAAACATTTTGTCCAAAATGCAAATTAAATTAAAGCATTAAAAATCTTTATTTTTTAGACTTCTTCCTATAAAGCAATCAAAATTCTTTATTACAATACAAATGCAAAGTGAAGAGTTTTAATGAATATTACAACTTAAAATAGAAATTTACATGACAAATTTTAATGTAATTTTTTAAAATCTGATTACTTTATTAAAACCTTTAAGAAAACACTGTCAGCAGTTCTGGTGTCCAATGTTCATCTAATTGTCAATAAAAAGATTATTATTACACCCCACGTATCATGTATACTTTTACATGCAAAAAAGTTCAGAGTTTACATGTATTCTTTAGTATACCAAAACATTCCTCAAACTCCAAGAGCAACTATTGCAGATACTTCACTAATTTGTGTATTTTTCCAGAAAGAGAAATTAAAATTAAACAAGAAGCCAGAAAATGGACACTCAGCACTTTGAGAAAATGATGTTTAGCATCTAAGATCTACTCTTCCTGTTACCTGAAAGAAAGGTTATGACGAGGTAATTATTTTGATTTTGTCTCTTTGCTGAGCACTTCTGCCACTCAAATCCTATCTGTGGACAAAAGCAGAAAAACTGGTACTTTACAATGGAGAGGACTTCAGACAACACCTTGGTCAGGTGATTCAGTTAACATCCGTCATCAGTAATAAGACAGACCCAAATCAAATGTCCCCTGATGAAAGGAGAACAAAACTGTCTCACTTCTGTAAGAATCCAAGAAGAGATGCACAATCTAAATTAATTATTAGAAATGTCAGGCAGTCCCAAATAAGAACATTCTAAATTTGTCTGCAACCCTTAGAAGTGCCAATAAAATGGTCATCTTAAAAAATGAGTTATATCTATGTGAAATAATATAAAATAAACTCTAAAATATGTTTTACTTTTGTAAAAAGCTGGAGACCAGTACTTCAATTTTAAACATACACACACACACACATAATTTCCAGAACTACAAAGAAACAGTTAATAGTGGCAGCCTCTGGGAGTGGAATCAGATGAAGAGTGAAAGATGTTTATTTTTCTCTTCTCAGTTTCCTTTCTTGTATGATTTATTTTTAACCTGAACAAAGGTCTTATTTGAAGTTTTAAAATAAAATAATTTCTTTAATTCCTTTGACTATTGTAAATTCTGTTTCTGACTCTGAAAATGAAAAATATTGTCTGACAAAAAATAGTAATAATAATAATAATAATAATAATTGCAGTTTTCAATTTAGTCAACACAAGACTGATGGTAGGTTATGGTACCTGGGGTCTCATTCCATCCTTGTCATTAAGAAGCTATGCTGTTTGGACAAGGCACTTCCGTTCTCTGGGATTTAATTATTCATTTTACTGATGAGATTAACTCTCACCTCAAATAAGACTCTTAAAATAAATGAAGACATATAACATGCTGCCAACAGAGGGCAGTAATTAACCACAAATAGTTGCATGTTCTCTAAGCAAGAAATGCATCTTCTTCATACAATTTGAAGGAAAATAGTGATCAGAGTGGGCTCTCCCTGGTGGCTCAGATGGTAAAGAGTCTGCCTCCAATGCAGGAGTAATTAGAGTTTCCTCCCTATTCCTGAAAATTAGGATCACATTTCAATTTCCTCCCACTGGAACACTTCTATAAACCAAACATTTCATTATCTCAAACAATTTCAGTTCNACCCATGGCTGATTCATGTCAATGTATGGCAAAACCACTACAATATTGTAAAGTAATTAGCCTCCAATTAAAATAAATAATTTACCAAAAAAAAGAATAAGAGGGATTGCTACAGATTGGGACTGTACACTATGCTCAGCTACTTACTGGGATTTCCAAGTGGCTCAGTGGTAAAGAATCCCCATTCAGGAGACACAGGAGACATGGGTTAAAAAGGTATATATACATATTATGCGTGTACCTGCATATTGTTTATTTTTATTGTTTAGTTGCTTCACTTATTGTTTAGTTTATTGTTTACTTCCCAATCCAGGAAATTATATGGAATAAACTCTAAAATGTATTTTACTTTTGTAAAAAGCTGGCGAATGTTACTTCAATTTTGAACATACACACACACACACACACACACACACACACACACATTTTCCAGAATGACAGAGAAACAGTTAATAGTGGCAACCTCTGGGAGTGGAATCAGATGAAGCGTGAAGGATGTTTATTTCTCTCTTCTCAGTTTCCTTTTTTATACGATTTATTTTTAACCTGAACAAATACCTTATTTGAAGTTGTAAAATAAAATGATTTCTTAATTCCTTTGACTGTTCTAGCCATGTGTTCTGGGGAACAAACTCACTTATCAGGGCAATGCAGATAGTGGAGTGCAGTTTATTACACCGGCAGGCCCAAGGCAGAGTCTCCTCTTAGCCAAGGACCCTGACCAGGTTTTCTGAAAACCCTATATAGAATAAAAGTACATGCCCAAACCCACCTCCCCAAATTCTCTGAAACTAGTCTGAACAAAGGAAAAGAAAGATACAATCAAAGTTAACCCGTGATTCATATGCCTTACGCCTAGGTAGTTAACAGTGGACAATTATCAATAGGCCTGTGGTCATACCCCAATAAGCATAATAGAATGTATGATTCTATTCAGTTACACAGATAATTAGGGTATTCTTTTAGGCAACAGAGAGTCTAGGTATGAGCCCTGAGGCTCTTCCATCCAGGGGGCCTGGTTTTCCAGTTGGTATGTCGTTTTCCATAGATACTGGGCATATAGCTCAAAGTCCATAGTCCGGCCCAAGATGGAGTCCTGCTTTCAAGATGGAGCCTGTTCTGCCTGTTTCCTCCTTCATCCCCCCCTCTTGATGCTCTTAACTCATAGTATGAGCATCATTCATAGCGATATATTGCACCCTGACTCTCCGACCTCCAATTTGGGAGAACGACATCAACCTTTGGGTTACAAAGTTCATAATACATTGTAAAATAAAGGGTCCACAAAGCAGAACTATCAAGGCAACTGGAACAATGGTAAATATAGTTTTCCACCAATCACCCTTCACCCAAGATAAGACTGAAGGTCAGAGAGGAAGATTATCATCAGACATAATAACTTTTACCTGACCTTTCATGTCACCTAGGGTGGCTGATATGTAGCCAGATAATCAGGAATACATACACAACATTCGACTTTAATTATAGCACAGGTCCCTCTTTGTACTGAAACCATGGTTAGTCTCAGGATTATACCAGCAAGTCTTTCTAGCAGCAGTTGATTGTAGAGCTCCATCTCTTTTCCTTCTTTAAGATGATCTTGGTTTCCCGGGGATCAGCGGGGTCCTTTGTGTGGTCCCCTCGGCGTCCTCCAGGTCTGCGTGGTATGCCCTCTTCATCCTTACATGGTGGGTCCAGGGAGTGGTACCTGCAACCTTAACCACAGTCGGGCTGGTTAGAACAACAGTGCATAGACCCTTCCACTGTGGGGCCAAGGAATCGTGTTTCTAGTCCTTGACCACATCTGATCCCTGGGCACAAATTCGCGAATCTGTTCCCCAAGGGGGAATGGCACCCTTTCTTGTACAAACTTAGTTATCTGATTTATTACCTTACCCAGTTCCATCTGCTGTGAAATCCTATCCCCGCTTACCTGAGGCAAATTTGTTGACGCCTGTTTTATGATGGGAGGGGGCCTCCCATACACAATTATGTATGGGGAAGAGCCGTGGGACCGTGGAGTCATCCTGAGCCTGAGCAGCGCCATCGGAAGCAAGTCCACCCAGGAGCAGTCAGTCTCTAAGATCCACTTGGAAAGTCTCTTTACATGTCCGGTTGGTTCCTTCCACCATCCCAGAACTCTGGGGCCTGTAAGTTGTATGTAATTTCCACTTGATGTTTAAAGTTTTGCTTATTTGTTACATTAAATCAGCTACAACAGCCGGGCCATTGTCCAATCCCACGCTGGTAGGAAATCCAAATCTGGGGACTATCTCCCTAAGCAGGCACCAGGCTACTTTTTTGGATGCTCTTTCAGTCCGGGTAGGAAAAGCTTCTACCCATCCCAAGAACGTTCATACTATGACCAGCAGGTAATGGTAGTGTCGGTGAGGTTTCATTTCAATGAAGTCCACTTCCAAGTGTTCAAAGGGCAGTGTGTCTTTTACCTGAATCCCTGGTGGTTTCTGTCTGTGCTGAGAGGCAGCATTGGCCTGTGAGCAGTGTAGTTTTGAGATTTTGTCCTGCATAGCGAAGAGAGGTGGGGAAACAAGAAATATTTTCAAATTAGCTCTTCCAGTTTATCATGGCCTAGATGGGTCGCTTGGTGTGTTTGGCTTACCAGGGTGGGTGCCAGCTCCTCCAGTACCAATAATTTGCCACTTGGCAGTTCCCGCCATCCCTTTTCAGTCTCGATGGCTCCTTCTGCTTTGGCTAGGTGGTTTTGGGCTTCAGTGTATTTTGGAGAGTCTAGCATTAGCTTCGGTAGCTCTGCCGATATGAGAGCTTTAATAGGGGCTTCACTTGTCACCCCCAAGCCCTCAGCTGCTTGTTTAGGGGTCTTTTCTGCCAATCTGTTCCCTGAGCCTGGGGGGTATCCTCTTTTTGATGTCCTCAGCAGTGTATGACTGCAACCCTTTCTGGTTCCCAGGCAGCATCTAATAGGGTCTTAATTTCTTCCTTATTGTTAATATCTTTTTCACTAGCTGTCAAAGGCCTCTCTACTTATACAGAGCCCTGTAGTGTGGCAGAAGTATACCTGGAGTTTGTGTGTTTGTCTTCTTACCTTTTGACAGCTGGAGGGCCTGGATTAGAGCATGTAGTTCAGCCTGTTGGGTGGACCAGTGTGATGGCAGGAAGCTGGCCCCAACGATGAATTCTTCCATGACCACTACGTACCCCGACAGTTGTTGTCCTCGTTTCACCAGGCTGGTGCCATTGGTGTACAGGACAAAATCTGGGTCTGGGCTTGGCTGGTCTCTCAAGTCAGGTCTGCTGGCATATTTCCTTGGAATCACGTGAGGGCCCACCTTCTCCCACAAGAAAGAGAGTGGCCAGATTCAGGGCCTGACAAAGCTCAGTAGTAACATTGGGGTTCTCACATAACAGTCCCTGGTATTGAGTAATCCAGGATGTTGACAGCCATTTATGGGAGTCCCCTCGCAGGAGAGTGTTGACCTCACGTGGGACTTTTACGAACAAATCTTGGCCCAAAGTCAGCTTGGTTGCCTCCCGGACTAGTAAGGCAACTGCCCATAAGCATCCCAGCCACCCAGTGGAAACATTGTCCAGCTGATTTGAGAGATAAGCCCCTGATCTGTCCCTTGTCCCCATAATCTGGGACAACACTCCCATAGCCACCTTGTCCTAAAGAGTAAACGGCTTGGCAAGGCCCAAGGCAGCTGCTGACATAATTATACCGGGTTTCAGTTTTATTACCAGTGGGACTTCTGTTGCAAGCCTGGGGTGGGGTGGGGGGGGTTGTCTTCCACCCAGACCTCAGAGAATTGTTGAGTTAGCTCTCTCTCTTGACTGTTTAGCCACTGCCAGGAGATTGTGCAACCTCCATTCATCTTGAGGGGTTACTGAGAGGAAGAGTAAATAGGTGGTTAAGCCCACTCGAATAGTGGGTCTTTTGTGGGGGGAAAGGTTACTTGTGCCCCCAATTTAGACAGTAAGTCTTTTCTTAACAAAGGTACTGGACAATCAGGGATGAATAAAAATTCATGAGTCAGTTGGTGGCCCCCCCTCTGACATTTTCAGGGTAGGCTAGAGACACAAAGGCTACATTTATCACCATCTGGGACCCAGCAGCCTCTGGCAGGGTCTGTTGGCTTATAAAGTCTATAGGCCTTGCACTGTCTTTCGCAGAACTCAGAGGGTGATTCACTTTCCCTTTGAATCACTTCGAAGGGTTTTGCGATACTCATAGCTTTTCGGGCCCCCCTCTTGAGGCCTTGTACAATAGTCACCAGATATCTTTCCAGATGACCCCTCCTTTCCTCTGTGTCACAGTCCCAGTCGAGCCCCTCATCGGGGGTGGCTGGTTCTGCCCACCGCTGAGGGTTTGCAGTGCCCCCAGGAGCTGTTTCTCTTAACCATTCTCTGGCCTCAGTTAGGATCCTGTGTCTTTCCTCAGGGCTGAAAAGGGAGACTAGTAGTTGGATTATGTCATCCTATGTAGGGTGGTGGGTTTGAAAAATAGTCTCTATTGGCCTAATCATGGCTCGTGGCTCCCCCAAGTACCATGGAGCATGTCTCTGCCAGTTTAATATATCCGTAGAGGAAAATGGCTGGTAATAATAGGCTACAGGGGGCTGATGGCAGTGTCCCATGTGTCCTGACCTGGGGGCTGTTGTGGCTCTCTGAGGAGCATCTGTAGTGGGGTTCTTTCCCCTTGTTCCTTGGAGGAGCGCAGCCTGTGTCTAATTGCTGTGTTTTCTTCCCCCTTCCCATCAGTACTCACCGGGAGAGGTGGATACAATCTAGGAGGTCCAGCTGAGGTGGAATTCTGGGGGCGTTGACCGGAGGTCTCCATTGCTGGGATTGGAGTCTGCCAAAACGGTGGCTCTACGAACTCCGGGAGAGCTGGCGAAAGAGTAGCAGCTACTGCCGGAACTTCACCTGGCCCTGGATCTGGCATCAAGGCAGCCTCTGGTCCTGGTGGAGCACTGGGAGGCAGGCGCGTCATTATCCAGTATGGGGGAGGGGTCAGGTCATCCCCGTCCAAATCCTGTAGAATTTCCTTTTTTAGCATCAGTCAATTTTTGTGCCATTAATATTTTCCCCTTTCCCTTCTGGATACAGAACCTTGTCCAAGTAGTAGGGTCTTGAGCTAATCCTAGCCATGAGTCAATATATGGATATTGATCCAGGTGTCCTGGCTCTCCTATGACTACTGTATACACTGCTTCCACTATTTTTGAGTTCATGGTGTTCTTTGGTGGCCATCCTACTTCCATAGGGGGCCATTCGACCTCACAGAGTATGTGAAGGCAGTTAGGCTTCATCTTCACCCCATGCTGCTGCTAAGTCGCTTCAGTCGTGTCCCACTCTGTGCGACCCCATAGACAGCAGCCCACCAGGCTCCCCCGTCCCTGGGATTCTCCAGGCAAGAACACTGGAGTTGGTTGCCATTTCCTTCTCCAGTGCATGACAGTAAAAAGTGAAAGTGAAGTCGCTCAGTCATGTCTGACTCTTAGCGACCTCATGGACTGCAGCCTACCATGCTCCTCCGTCCATGGGATTTACCAGGCAAGAGTACTGGAGTGGGGTGCCATTGCCTGCTCCCTTCACCCCCATAGTCTCCTCCAAATCCTTTCTTTAAATTTTTAATCATGCACTCCAATACAGTTGCCTTAGATTCACTTCCCCCCATCTTGCTTAACTTCTTGGACCTTCTTCTCCTTTTTCTTTTTGTTCTGTCTACGAAGTTCTCAGTATCCTATGTACTTCTGATATTTCCTCTCAATAACACTTAAATTGCCATTCTTCCTCCTTCCTAATGGGGCTGAGAAGAGCCTTACCTGCCAGATCCCAGAGTGAGAAGGGGAATCAGCGTGTCTTCACCTGCCGATCAGCACAGCTGAACCAGAACACCATGTGGTCCAAGACTGTTTCTCCCTTAACTTTTAAAATCCATTCTGTTTTGGTGGGCTTGATCAAGTGCGGATGAAAATACAGATGGGTTAAATATCCCACGTCCCAGGCCGTCTCCAGAAAAGCTAATTAGTACTCACTTATGTATCTCCCTCCCTCTAGCCTGACAATTCCGAGGGGGTCAAGAATTTCATAGCAGATGGGACACCTCCTTGGGGAGGGCAGAACACAAGCACACAAAGGCCAAGTTTCTTCTCCTAAAAATCGCCTGGCAATTATTTGGTAATAATTTTCCCCAAGATGGCATGAACACCACTTCCTAAATGACCTTCACAAATTTCCTTCCTAGGCCCTAACATGCTCGTCAACCTATGTACCAAGCAATCGTTGCCACCTGCCTATTCCAGGCTCCTGTGGGCCTGTGCCCCTTCTAATCTCTCTCAGGGGGTTGATCAGGGCCCCTCTTCCACCCTACCATGTGGGTTCCTCCTCACCTGGGTGCTCAGTTCTGTCCTCCACTACCCGCTAACTTGAAAGGTCTGGGCATTGAGAAGCAGAATCCTTCCAGAGGGGCGATGCGCCTTCCACACTCTAGAAGACTCAAGTTGCAAGGCCTCGGAATAGTCCCAAATGGGACTTGTCTTCTCAAAGTGAGGAGTTTCCCGCTAATGCACCAAATGTTGTAGCCACGCATTCTGGGAAACAAACTCACTTAGCAGGACAATGTAGATAGTGGAGTACAGTTTATTACACCAGAGGGCCCAAGGCAGAGTCTCCTCTTAGCTAAGGACCCTGACCAGTTTTTATGAAAACCCTATATACCCTAAGTGTACATGCCCAAACCCACCTCCCCAAATTCCCTGAAACTAGTCTGAACAAAGGAAAAGAAAGATACAATCAAAGTTAACTTGTGATTCATATGCCTTAAGCCTAGGTAGTTAACAGTGGACAATTATCAATAGGCCTGTGGTCAAACCCCTATAAGCATAATAGAATGTATGATTCTATTCAGTTACACGATAATTAGGGCATTCTTTTAGGCAACAGAGAGTCTAGATACAAGTCCTGGGGCTCTTCCATTCGGGGGGCCTGGTTTTCCAGTCGGTATGTCGTTTCCATAGATACTGGGCATATAGCTCAAAGTCCACAGTCCGGCCCAAGATGGAGTTCTGCTTTTAAGATGGAGCCTGTTCTGCCTGTTTCCTCCTTCATTCCCCTCTCTTGATGCTCTTAACTCATAGTATGAGCATCATTCATAGCGATATATTGCACCCTGACTCTCCGACCTCCAATTTGGGAGAACGACATCAACCTTTGGGTTACAAAGTTCATAATACATTGTAAAATAAAGGGTCCACAAAGCAGAACTATCACGGCAACTGGAACAATGGTAAATATAGTTTTCCACCAATCACCCTTCACCCAAGATAAGACTGAAGATCAAAAAGGAAGATTATCATCAGACATAACTTTTACCTGACCTCTCATGTCATCTAGGGTGGCTGATATGTAGCCAGATAATCAGGAATATATACACAACATTTGACTTTAATTATAGCACAGGTCCCTCTTTGTACTGAAACCATGGTTAGTCTCAGGATGATACCAGCAAGTCCTTGTAGCAACATTGATTATAGAGCTTCACCTCTTTTCCTTCTTTAAGATGATCTTGGTGTCCCGGGGAAAACCAATCAATGGGGTCCTTTGTGTGGTCCCCTCGGCGTCCTCCAGGTCTGCATGGTATGCCCTCTTCACCCTCCTGTGATGGGTTCAGGGAGTGGCACCTGCAACTTCAACTGCAGTCAGGCTGGTTAGAACAACAGTGCATGGACCCTTCCACTGTGGGGCCAAGGAGTCGTGTTTCCAGCCCTTGACCACACCTGATCCCTGGGCACAAATTCGTGAATCTGTTCCCCAAGGGGGAATGGCACCCTTTCTTGTACAAACTTAGTTATCTGATTTATTACCTTACCCAGTTCCATCTGCTATGAAATCCTATCCCCTCTTACCTGAGGCAAATTTGTTGAAGCCTGTTTTATGATGGGAGGGAGCTTCCCATACACAATTTTACAGAGAAGAGCCATGGGACCGTGGGGTCATCCTGAGTCTGAGCAGCGCCATCGGAAGCAAGTCCACCCAGGAGCAGTCAGTCTCTAAGATCCACTTGGAGAGTCTTTTTACATGTCCGGTTGTTTCCTTCCACCATCCCAGAACTCGGGGGCCTATATGCTGTGTGTAATGTCCATTTGCTGTTTAAAGTTTTGCTTACTTGTTATACTAAATCAGCTATGACAGCCGGGCCATTGTCCGATCCCACGCTGGTAGGAAATCCAAATCTGGGGACTATCTCCCTAAGCAAGCACCAGGCTACTTTTGACGCTCTTTCAGTTGGGGTAGGAAAAGCTTCTACCCGAGAAGAATGTACCCATCCCAAGGACGTACATACTATGACCAGCAGGTAATGGTAGTGTTGGTGAGGTTTCATTTCAGTTAACTCCACTTCCAGGTCTTCAAAGGGCAGCATTTTCCAGTTGGTATGTCATTTCCATAAATATTGGGTCTATAGCTCAAAATCCACAGTCTGGCCCAAGATGGAGTCTTGCTTTCAAGATGGAGCCTGTTCTGTCTGTTTCCTCCTTCATGACTATTGTAAATTCTGTTTCTGACTCTGGATTGGGAAGATCTTGTGCAGAAGAAAATGGCAACCCACTCCAATATTCTTGCCTGAAAAATTCCATGAATAAAGATTCTGGCGGGCTACAGTCCATGAGGTCACAAAGAGTTGCACACGACTTGGTGACTGAGCATGCACACACACAGCGCTACTTACAGTTTGTAAGTGCTAACCTCGGGCCAACTGAATTAAGCTTTCCACTGTTCAAACTTAAAACGATAAAAATAGCTACCTTGGAGGATTGTTTAGGATCAATGGTATAACAGAATAGCAGGTATATAAATAGGAACTCAGTAATGTTAACTATTACTATCATTATTACTGTTACTAGCAGCAAATATATTTCTTTGTTTTAGTATAGTTTAACAATAGAAAAATATTGCATTTTATCCTTAAGTACATATCTGTATGTATGTATATGCATATATTAGAGAAGGAAATGACAACCCACTCCAGTATTCTTCCCTGTGAAATCCCTTGGACAGATGAGTATGGTGGGTTACAGCCCATGGGGTCACAAAACATATGATATGAGACATGACTTAGCAATTAAATGATAACAATAAATAATATGCCATATATATGCATAATATGTATATATCCCTTTTTAAAATATGACAAACTAGTTTTCTCGAACCAAATTTTGGATATTTTATACATGCAATTATTAATTCAAAATAGACATCAGTTTAGCTGTTATTTAAATTCTAAGATTTTTAAAACAGAAGAAGTTGGTATACTAATAAAAACTCTTACAAGTCTATAAAAAAATATACCAAACTAAAACAAGACCATTGATAGAAATTCACGAAAGAAAAAAAAAGTATTTAATGAGGAAATGAGCATTCAATTTCAATGGACTACAAATTAAAATTTTTGTCCTGCTTTGCCTATAAAACTGAGAAAAAGCTTTTGAGAGTGTCATTGAGGGTGTTGGTGTATGGGTACTACCATATACTTTGAAGTTCAAGTGGTTAGAAATTGATATAAAGGTATAGTTATAACAATGAAACTTTATGATAAAAAATTTAAGATGTTAATCAAGATGGTAATAAATAAATATTTGTCTTTACATTTCAGATATTGAATAATCAATGAACACTTCCACAAGATAAACTAACACATTTCTTATAAAGTAAAAACAAGAAATATACTAAATTGTCACATGCATCTCCTGGAATAACTTCATCTAAGCAACTTTGAAGAGCCTCTTGATAAAAGTGAGAAGAGAGTGAACAAGTTGGCTTAAAACTCAACACTGAGAAAACTAAGATCATGGCATCCAGTCCCATCACTTCATGGGAAATAGATGGGCAAACAGTGGCAGACTTTATTTTTGGGGGGTTCGAAAATCAATGCAGCTGGTGACTACAGCCATGAAATTAAAAGATGCTTGCTCCTTGGAAGAAAAGTTATGACCAACCTAGAAAGCATATTAAAAAGCAGGGACATTACTTTGTCAACAAAGTCCCATCTAGTCAAAGCTTTGGTTTTTCCAGCAGTCATGTATGGATGTGAGAGTTGGACTATAAAGAAAGCTGAGCACTAAAGAATTGATGCTTTTGAACTGTGGTGTTGGAGAGGACTCTTGAGAGCCCCTTGGACTGCAAGGAGATCCAACCAGTTCATCCTAAAGGAAATCAGTCCTGAATAGTCATTCATTGGAAGGACTGATGCTGAAGCTGAAACTCCAATACTTTGGCCACCTGATGCGAAGAACTGACTCATTGGAAAAGACCTTGATGCTGGGAAAGATTGAAGGCGGGAGGAGAAGGGGACGACAAAGCATGAAATGGTTGGATGGCATCACCAACTCAATGTACATGGGTTTAGGTGGATTCCAGGAGTTGGTGATGGGCAGGGAGGCCTGGCGTTCTGCAGTCCATGGGGTTGCAAAGAGTTGGACACAACTGAGCAACTGAACTGAACTAAACTGAAGCAAATTTAAAAAGTGATATTTTAAAAGGTGAGGCATTTTTTTCATTTGTTTTCTAAAATCCTCATTCACTGAGTAAGAATGGTTATTGTTAGTAGCATTCAGTTTATGGCACTAAAATTAAAGTTCTAGGAAGACAGAGTTTTATTTGTCATGTTCTTTGCTGTTTCCTTAAATCCTAGAGCAGTGTTTGTCATACAGTTGGTGCTCAATAAATATATCTGTGTGGTATATTTATATGCTATTTTATATTTTGAAATTTTTCCTAAGAAATTTTTAAAGTAAAAATATTTAATAAAAACATATATCCTTATGAAAAACAAGTTTTCATATTTCTAAAACAAGTTTATCTGTTAGTAAAATTTTTATGCTTCTAATCAAGAATCTACTCAACTCTGACTACCAGCCATTCTTGCTTTTGTAGTTGTGTCTTGCAACAACAAAAAAACGATAGAGAGAGAAAAAGAGAAAGAGAGAGAGAGAGAGAGAGACAATCATAACACCACCTTTGTAGTGAGTCTTTTTCTTTTTTTTTCTTCAGAATTCCAAATGACACTATACAATATTGTTTTTCCGAGTCCTCTTAGAAATGAATAGTGATAATACAAATGTAAATTTAACAAAGAGATAGAAAATAAGATAAATATTTTGAAAGGGAAATTATCCAAACCCAGCTAAGATTACAATGAAGGAGAGACTGAGATGGTAGCTTGTCTCCTATACTTTGAAATTCTGGATAGGATCACATTATCTAATCAGCTAGGCTCTCTGAGGGCAGAATCTATCAAGGGATTAACTCCCTAAATCTAAAACAGTAAGAATGGGGATATAAGGATAATTCTGAGGTAAACTTTCTTTAGCATTCCTAATCAATGAAAGATGTTTTGCACTATAAGTAACAATCCCTCAAACCCAGTCAAAAAAGAAGGTGAATTAATATGTAGATGTTGGTAGTGCAAACCAAAATAAAACTTAGCTATCCGCACAAACAAGCTTTCTGAGAGGTTCAGAATGAAAGTTTGTGCTGTGAGAAGATGGACTTTTCATGCAATTTGTCAATGCCTATCCTGGCAGTATAGGTAAGCCAATGGTTGGAAATAATTTCCTTCCATGGGCCTATCAAATTAGTTATTCAATGTGGTGATCTTAGAGTCACTGAATCCCAC